TGAACCGCATCGTGTTCGTCTTTTTATTTTTCTTCTTTTTCACGTCTTCCGAGACGCAGTCTCAGCTTGGCTCGAGTTTCACTTCGCCTTGTTGAGCTTTCCCTCAACTTCCTTTACGAGTACTAACGTTATTGGCGAGAATACGCGCGTTGGCTGTTGAGTTTGACATAACGGTGTGTGACGTCCTTTCTTTTGCACGATGGCGAGATCGGAGACGCGGATTTGCCATTTGCCGTCCGGATTTCCCGCGGGTTTGTCACGAGCTGTTTCGGGCGCGTAATCGGACGTATCGGAAGCACACGCGTGGCGTACGCACATACGTCGGGATGAACAAGTTGGTGGACGGTATCGTTTGGCTATCGTGGAGTGTGCCTTGGCGCTCATGAGCTGTCTGTTGTCATTGCACGCGCCAGTCAGTTCGCCAAGATAGGCTTTGGATTTATTGGCAAGTTGCAACAACGATGGTGATTCGTACTCGGTAGATTACTTTCATACGGCACGGTGGCGTCAAGGACTAGTTGGTCTGCGGCGCAGCAAAGGTAGCCGGAATGGTACTTTGAAAACCTGGTTGTTGGTACTTCCACGCGCTGGTGGCGCATGCAGAAGGCCTAAGCTGCGTGGTAGCTATCTACTGCAGGCACTCCGGGTACCATTGGACGTATTTACACGATATCACATTGCGGCGGAAACAATTGTTGGTGGTAGTTCTTCATTCGTAAGGTTCGATTACGCCTTTCATACATGCAAAGCCGACTCTAATAGCGGATCAACAGTCCGGCTGTGAAAAAAGAGTGTACAGGTGTTTATGCATGCCAGCAAAAACCAGCAATTATGCTCGCTACAAATACAGCAAGATCGAGCGCTGTCAAAGCAAGGACACCGAAGCATTCAATATGCGTTCGCGAGGATGAAAGGAAATGTAATGTGGATCGTAATAATGCGTGATGCTGGGGTATCTCTAGTCTATACTTCTCTAACCCAAACCTGATGAAGTAGTTAGTACGTAGTCTTCAAGGTGAAATTGAACGAAGAACTTACCTCCATCTTGGCCATATCGCTGCCTTCCTTCCTTGCAACACTCTTCGCCGTCTGGATGGCCATGTCAAGATCGTCCTGGTCGGCCATGGTGATCATGTCGCCATCGTCTTTGAACTCCACCTTGAACTTATTTCGTACACCGAACTTCTCCCGAATCTGTTGCCAGAATTCAGTGATTAATTGATCAGAACTGATAAAGACGTAACGTGTGTCGCTAGAGTGGACCTTCACTCTGACTTTGCTGCCTGCACCGCGGGTGCTACCACCAGATCTGGCGGAGCGGGCGGGGGATCGTCTCCTGGATTTTGTGCGAGACATCATCTCGAATTCGGCGTCATCAAGATCACTACCATCGTAGTCGTCTTCGTCTTCTTCTTCGATGTAAGCCGGTCGCCTGCTCTGTTTTGAGCGAGCGTATGCCCCGCGGCTCCCACGAGAAGGCGGGTAGGGGTCATTGTCGTAGTAGTCGTCAATGATATCATCGTCAGACCCACGGCGACGTGGCCTGTAGTCACGGTCTCGCTGGTCTCGCTGATCCCGCTGATCACGTTGCCCTCGGTCTCGCATTGACTCTGAGCGACTTGGTGGTGGACGTTCAGAAGCGGAGCGCTGTGTTGGCTGGCGACGAGGCGGCTCGTTGTTGCTTTGCTGATCAAAGGCAGCTCGTCCAAGGTTCAGAGGCTGAGGCTTGGGGCCACCGCCTCGTACGGATTGCGCGCGGCTCATGGGAGCATCGGCGGCAGGTCTCCGCTCTCCACCAGATCTCCTGTCACCAGACCTCCTGTCTGCCTCCGGTGGCGGTGTGGGTGGGAACATGTTACGGTTCATTGGTGGTTCTGACTGCTGGCGTGCTCTGCTCTGAAGTTCTGGCTTGACAAGGTTTGTCGCCGCGTACGAGATCTTATCCTCAGTTCTGTCATCTTTTGCGGCCTGGCCTCCCTTCTTGATTTCGGCGCCAGCGAAGCCAGTAAAGGCATTGGCCCGGTCTGAAGCAGCGACCAGACGGGCTTTTCCAAGATAGTCCTTCGTCTTCAGGTTCTTGACCTTGGCTTCGTTGGGACGGTAGACAATGCCAACGGGAATGGAGAAGACGGTGTAGCCTTCTGCTTCCTCCCGAATAGCCTCGTCGATCACATCATGGTCAGGTACCACCTTCTCCTTGGCTGCGAAAGACAGATCCTGTAGACCGGCGTCTCTTTGCTGGAGGTAGATGTAGCAAAGACCGCGGTTGAACAGCACCTCGCAGGAGTATAGCTTGAACTTGAGACCCAATTGTTCGTAATCGATGTTGTTGTTTCCGCGTAGGTAGAGGAGTGTGTCGTTGAAGTTGGCGAGGGCTTCCTCGAAGTCGCCCATGAGGAAGTTTGACACACCCTGCTGGAAGTATGCCACGGCGAGGTACTGGTCCAGACGCACAGCGCGCTGGTAGCAGTCGACCTGTGTAGCCATCAGCACGTGCTCCTACTACTGGAGCCATTGCCCAACTTACCGCCTTCTCATGCTCGCCGAGTGTGGCATGGATTACGCCGCAGTTGAACAGAATCTTGGACGTATCGGAGATTGTGTCAAAGACCTTCAATGCGACGTCGAACTCATTGTTGTCGTAGCTGGCGAGGGCTGCCACCCAGGTTTCGATTTCCTACCCCACCTATCAGTAATTGAATTCGGCAGGAGCGACGCGCGGGAGGAAGGAGCGCACCTGCTTCAGAGACATGACGAGTGATCTTCACTTGTTACCCGGCAGTATGGTGTCGTCAAGCCTCAAGGTAGTGCCTTTCCTAGCACTCCACCGTTGGACGAGGGGTCGTGTTCCTTCTCACGCGCAAACTTCCGGATGTGTTCGTCTCAATTCCACCAGATTACAGAGTAGCCGCCGGGGCTTGTGGGTATGCGCGACGAGGTGGATTAGTGTCCAGTAGGTGTGTGTCGCTATTAAGTCGTCGAGGTACACCAAGATGCGGTGGGTTGCGCGGGGGAGTTAACGATCGTACAGGTGTGGGAATTAAGGCACAGTTGGGAAACCGGGAGAGAGAGGAGGAGGTTTCGAGGGCAATGCTCGGAAGAGACAGGGACACGGTGGGAATTTGGCGGGCGGTTGCAGGAGGGCTACCGGTGGGGAGACCAATTCTGAGGTCCAACGCGTTTGAGAGACAAGCCTTGGCCGACACGGTACCCGGCACCGTGATTGGATCCCTGCACCGTGAAGCCCGAGAGCCACAGCGCTACGCGCCTGTCCAAGACGCCTCAACCCGGCCGACTCGAGCATGACACCACCGTCCTGCGATGCTCCGAGAGCCTAGCGATTTTCCCAAGCGCCTCTGCAGTCCCCATAGCCTCGCTTCGTGAGGCTCACTGCCAGCAACCCACCGCGGCGCATATCGGACTGCTGGCCCCCTGCGATCATCGAGTGATGGCGTTTGAGGTCTGTAACGTGCAAATCCGCCGACTGAGACAGCCACGTGACGCAGCCTCTTCGCAGCCACTCATCCCGTCGCCTGGCGTTTTCAGGCATGAACGCATGACGATTCCAGGCCTCGCAAAGTCCGTGTTCGCGCAGTCTTAGTTTCGGCCTAGATTTCAAGGTGCAAGCCTTATCTCTCGTCACCAAACCAACACGGCATTTCGACGGCACTTTATTACTTGGTCTATCTTGGTGTCTCTTGAGCTCATAGCATACCGCGATCGCGCTGTTCTTCCCTCTCCTGCCAGACCGTCTTGCCAGAACATGAACATACCGTCTTGTCGTCTGCATAACCGTTAGCACATACACACGCGAAGAGTACCACACTCCATGCGCAGAACACGTGGGGTACCAAGAGCACTCACTGTCCCAAACACCAGCGCTACGTGCGATGACACCCACTAGCGTATCCGGATCGTTCTTGTCAAACTGTGCAAGGTCAGAGTAGATCTCAGATCAACTAGCGGTTTCGCATACCTGGCCGTCTTGCTCTCGCGCAACCACGATGCTACGTCCGATCATCTCCCAGATGTGGATGGGCTTGTCCAGGAACACAGATCCGACTCCACCCTTTCCTACCTGGACGGTTCCAAAGATGCCCCGACACGGCTTGTCTTCCTTTTTGGCCTTGAGATACTCCCAGATGGCGCCGGTAGATTCTGGTCCGTCGGATATGTCGCCAGATTCGCGAACTGTAGCCTGGTACGTTCCAGGCGACAATCCCCTTATGCTCAGATCGATGATAGTCATACTCGGAGCTACTTCAACCATGCGCACTAATCCTCGAACTTTGTTCTCTACATTAGGTGCGTGCGATTCTAAGATGCATACTGCGGCGCCTGTTCGAACGTTAGAATCGACGCACATGCCGACTCTTCAAGATGAAGCATACTGTCTGATCTTCCAGATCCTCTTAGAATTGCATCACGGCCAGTTGCTTGGATAGCTTCAACAATGGCCGACGGCGCTGCTGTGCCCTCGACAGATACCAGTTGATCTTTAAGGTTGGCAGTGATTTTGTTGACGCCTACATGCTGTTAGAAGCCGGATGACGTGCATCGGGATCAGTCGTACCACCCAATTGCTGGAGGGAGCCTTCGATGTCGTTGATGCACGACTGGCAGGTCATAGGCACCGCGAAGATGGTTTCAAACGACGGAACAGTCATGTTGAAAGTTGTGAATTCGAGTGTAATGTTGTTTGAAACTCTGTGCTATTGGTAGAATGGTCAAGTCGTGAGCATGCCACTTCACCTTTGGGACGCTTTGAAATCGAGGCCCCACCTAACCATGGTGTGGCGCAGGGCGGGCGGGCGTCCCCGGGCCATATTTTATCGCCAATCCACGTTGGATCTCAGGCTTGGCATCGACTTGCATCCACGCCGACAAGCCAACGCCGCTCGTAGCTTTGCCAGTATCTCTCGAGCGAAGACCCTAGACTCCAGGTCAATTCCGACGCCCGACTATAGCTGGCCTACTAGGCCATTGACTTCACAGCCGCCATGTCGCAAGTCATAGGAAAGGTGTGTATTCTGTCGGACCTCCGCATCTCAGAACTCCATGACCGCAGCCAAAGTCACCATCGCGCGACGTGCTATTTCTAGGGCTAATATGTTATCTAGACGCGTCTGGCCTACGCCCGCTCATGGCACCATCTCGACATCGGCTCCGACCCACGCGCGCTCGGCCGCGTCGCCTCCGCTATAGCCCTGACCCTCATGGGAAAACACAAGCCCATCTTCGACCCTTCGACTGATTGCGGCGACTACGTTGTAGCCACAAACTGCTCACAATTGCACACCACCGGCAAGAAGCGCTTCCAGAAACTCTACCGCACACACACGACTCGTCCGGGCTCCCTCAAAGAACTCTCCATGGACAGGATGATCGCCAAGTGGGGAGGAGGAGAGGTTTTGAGGAAGGCGGTCAGCGGCATGTTGCCCAAGAACAGGTTACGGAAGGACAGGCTGGCGAGGTTGAAGACGTTCGAGGGGAGAGCGCACCCTTACAAGGAGAATATTCTAAAGGTGGGAAACGGCGGTGGACAGAGTATAGTGGAGCACGATGAGGTCAAGAAGACGTTTGCAGAGGTCAAGGCACAGAATGCGGAGGCACCAGTATCATGACGAGGGGTGGTCGAAGGGGGCAAGAGAAGATATACCATAGCATCAGGGTGCGTGTATAAGACATGTAAATCTACATAATTGTGCTTGAGCCAGGTTTTATGTTCTACGGCCACATGGACTTGGTTAATGGGTTTGACGTGGGTTCGATAATCTCAGGCGATCTCTGATTTGTCACATCATATGCCGCGAAAGTGAATAAAACGGTTGCATTCGCTCTACTCGTAAGATAATATACTACTCTCGCTCGTCCCCAACGAACAAAAAGAAATGGTGGTATAATGTTCTACTCTCCTTTGACAATCTCTCCAAAACTCGCTCGATGACCTAAAGAAATGTACAAGAAACCAATGTGCGACGGCATAATGCTACTGCATCTACAACTTCGACTTGGTACCCTTGCGAGTAACAGTGCAGAAAATCAGACCGTTGGGGTCCGATTGAGGAGCAAAGACAGTGGCGTCTTTGCCTGTGTTCTTGATGCTCTTGTGCCACGAGAGATCTAGTGCCATGTTAGCGAATGAATGCAAGAGGAGACAATTGGTCCCACGTACCGACTTCAAAGTAGTGCTTGTTGGGCAGCGCATAGTCCACAGCGTCCACCTGAGGAACAGCGGCCAAGATCAGGTCGCACATCTTGTACATAGTTGCTTGCACACTGGCGCTATCATCCTCGGCGAAGACCTTCATAGTGATATCCCTTGCCGCGGTCCAGGCACTGTTGAAGTCTACGGCCTTGGCCTCATCCAGGTTCTTGAACAGCTTCCATTGCCAGCCAGCTTCAACCTCTGTACTCAAAATGCGGTCCCATGTTTCGGGCAGACGCGTGTATTCGTCACGGTGGAAGCCATGGAATGCTGACCCTGTGCTCTTCAGAACAAGGAGCTTCTCAATCTTGGAGCGAATAGAGACACCCTCGTTCTCGCGGGTCACGGATTCGACCACGCGAGTCTCTTCACCGTCGCGGAAGAACGAGTGTGGGTGTGCTTTTCCGTCGATAGTCATGCGCGTCCATCGGTGCTGGATGATCTTGACGTGCGCGGCGTGAATGTGAGGGTAGGTCTTGACGAAGTGGTCGCCAATGATGGCAGCGAATTGCTCGGGCGGGTCGATAGGGTTTTGTTTTGCGAGTATGTAGGTTGTTTGCTTTTGCGTGTCGGTCGCGACTATGACAGAGTTGTCTGCTTTGGTGTAGCTGGAGGTCGTTAACATAGGGTATGCTAGAGTCTCGGTGGAGAAGCGTACGAAGTCTCAATGTCTCCCTCAAGTAGGACACAGACTGTTTGTTCAACGACGGTGTGGACACCGGTGTTAGGGTCCTTGTCGACCTTGTAGAGACGGACGTTGTCCTTGCCGTAGCGGGCGTGAGTAAGCTGAGACATTGCGAGCGAAGCTGTGCAGATTAGGATAATAGCCTGGAATGCTTCAGATAAGGGCGCGAGGTGTATGTAATTAGGCGAGGGTCAGTTGGGAGCTGAAGGTGAGTGGATAGAGTTATCAAGAAGGGCGATCAAGCTAGATATACTTATGAAACGGCACCTTATCTGATGGACGGCACACGGAGGATACCGAACTGTACAGGAGCGGTTTGCGATTGAGGCACGAGCAAGCTATGGAGCGTCGGCAAAGAGGCGGCCAGAACGCGTTTCCATTCGTTGAGATGGCCATCGGCGAGCTCCGATCGAGGGAAGAGGCCCTGGATAGCGGCGCAAGGCGCGCACGTGACGGCGTCAGAACCGCTCCTCGCCCGGAGACGCATCAGGCGCCATGGGACTATGGGGCCTGAGTTGTCGGCACATGGAATTCTGCGGCATGTCAGGCCATGATGGTGAGGTGCAGGGCGGTGGATCTGATGGACGCGAGCTCAGCGTTGCAAGGGTAGGTGGGTAGGGAAATGTGCACGTCCCCACGCTCAGCGGCTGCTGCCCGCAACACGTCGAGATGGCGATGCTGCGCGCCATGCACCATTCACTCACACTGTCATTACACCAGCTCCACACTCCCTAGCCTCTGCCCCAGCCGCTCCTTCCCCGAATCTCCGCCACATTTCCGTTTTTGGCTAGGCAACGCAGCGACAGCGACTTCACCTGGGCCCGCGAATGCTCATGAGGCAAGAGGAGGGCACCGCCGAAAGACAGATATGCGATGCGGTTGGCGGGAACACGGTTAAGGCGCGCTCATGACGCCATCAGCTCGCTCCGTAAACACACAGGCCGATGCCGCCGACCAGACGTCTCTCCTTGCACCTACGACGAGTAGAGATGGGCGCTCTGCGTCGTCGGTCGGCATGGCCAGCTCGCGGGGAGGCCAGGCCTCGTATGCCTCGTATGCAACCGCCAACACAGGCCCTGGCAGCTTCAACACCGCTTTGGTACGGCCCTCGACGGCGCAAGACGGTCGAATACGTCCCGATTTCGACATGCACGCAATTACCGTGGGGGACAATGACAACACAACCACTGAGCAGAGGCAGGCAGAGCTGCAGGATCAGATTGAGAAGGAAACCAAAATCAAGATTGGCTCGGAGAACCTGCTGGAGGCATTGAACGCTAAAAACGCAAAAGACAGCAAGAACCAGAGGCTACAGGTCGAGGAACAGCTCAATATATCAAACAGGAAATTGGCGCAGTTGCAGTCGGGACTGGCTGCGGAGAAACAGAGAGCAAAGGAAGTCAAGTCACCACCAGCGGACCCACAGAGCAGACTTTCATATCTCTTCCGACGGAATCTCTCACGTTCACCGTCGCGGCATATCGTTGAGAAAGAAGTGGAAGAGGAGGAGGAAACTGAATCGCCGACCTTCGTTCTGGCAGAGATATTGCAGGCCCTCGAAGTTCAGGGCTTGCAACCGGAATACTATGTAGAGAGAGCCAACTCTCTGGTCCTTCTCTTCAAGCGACACCCTACGCTGAAGTACGACCTAGCCTGGTCCATTTTCGGACTACGAATGCAAACCATGCTCCTGAGCGACAGCCGCGAAGTTGTTGCAGCAGCATATCGAGTCATGCGCTATTCCTTCACTGATCGCAAATCTCTCCGGATCATACGGGCTCTTCATACAGACCATCTTGTCATCTTGTCATTAGTAAAAGAGTCCAAAGCCAGTGTGGAACGTGAACAAGCACTAAAGTTTGTCCGAGCGTTCCTCGACGTCAAGGGAGGCGTTGAGGAAATCGCCCGCGCCGTAGTTCGTATCATCGTTGCAGTGGCCGAGCACGCAGAAGACCGACTGAGGAATATTGCGACCCTGACTTTGGCCGAGATTCTTGTCCGGAAGCCATCTCTTCTGGTTGCAGCCGGAGGTATGGGCGCTTTGGCTGATGCTCTTGGGGAAGGAAGCTATCACGCGGCCGAAAGTGTTGGTACTTCGTTCCTCTATCTACTGGATACTCCCAGACGACGCCGCTTTTTGCGCTCTGGGCGCGAGCTGGAAGCTCCCTTCGCCATGTTCACCGACGCAAATACCACTCATGGACATTTACACGAAGAGAAACTGAAGGTCAATGCCAAGGTCATAGCATCCTTACTCCGAAGTTGGCCTGGACTACTTACCCTCTCCATGAACAATTTTCTGCCCCTTCGATCCTTACTTTGGTCCTTACAGATTCCTACTCCTCATGTTCGGAACATCATCTTGGAACTTTTATTCGATCTTCTCAGGATCAAGCCTCCCTCCTGGTCATCCTCTTTCCTTGCTGGTCGGCGTTTGACTACCTATGGCCGCGTCACGAATCTAAAGAACCAGCAGATCAAAGAGACTTCAACCTCCAGTAACACCGAGGACGACACCACCAAGTGGAGCTTACTAGACCATTATGTCTCTGTAGTTCTGGCTGCATTTCTACATGCAGGTTTGATGCCAGCACTGCTACAGGCTGAAGAGGAGTCTCTGACATTGCCGTTGAAGCGCAAGACAACCCTTCTAATTGGGGAAGTTTTGAAAATGGCCAATGAATTGCTACCCCCCTCGTGGAGCGCGCAGATCCAGGTACTCCCGCAACTTTTGCACTCAGCGGCGCGGTTCGACTCAGAAGACCGCTTTGTCGCTATTGGTACCATATATCAAGTGGACAGCATCAACAGGACTCTTTATCGGTCCGGACCTACGTCTCTGTATACCACTAAGAGCACTGCGCTCTCCGATAGCACATCGACAAACAGACAATCTGACCATGCGGCCAAGCTACAAGCCGCCATGCAGGTGGACGAGGCCCACTTTCGCAACCTCATGGTCGAGACCCAAGTATTGAACACGGTCACGTTCACGAAATGGAAGTGGGATTTAATTCTGAACATCATCGAAGGCCCTCTACTCAATCCCAAACGCCTGGACGAGGCTATCAAAGTAACCAAGTTCATCCATCGTGTCTTGGGGTTCTATCGTCCATTCAAGTACCGTTTCTCTGAGATCAAAAATACCAAACCGAACCAGCGATACGTGCGAGCCGGTTGCGCCCTGATGCAAAGTCTCCTGCAAAACCCAGAAGGCGTCAAGTATCTGGCAGAGAGCAAATTTATCCGACAGCTTGCCGAGTGTTTGTCACATTTCGACCGGATGAGCGGGCTAACATCTGAGTCACCTATCTTTCAGACGGATCGGATGAACGAAACGCTCACTGGCGGCTACTTTGCGCTTCTGGGTGCTTTGACTAAAGACTCTCGAGGAATTCACATTCTAGAAAGATGGAGAGTGATCAATATGTTCTACCACATCATCGAGCTCAATGACCGCGACGACCTGATCCGAACGCTGTTGAGCAATATGGACTACACTTTGGACGGTCATCTACGCATCATCATCTCCAAAGCCATGACATCATGCTCCAAAGAGATTCGTATTTTTGCAACCAGATTGTTGCGCAAGTATGCGACAAAGCCTATGGGAGTGAGCAGCTCTACCAGTGTAGCGGAATGGGCTATAAGGCTCCTTGTGACGCAGCTGTACGACCCGGATGTGGAAGTGTGTGAAGTGGCAATCAAGATATTGGAAGAGGCTTGCAACCAGAAAGAGTCGTTGGAATTCGTCGTGAAATGCCGCCCGGCATTGGATCATCTGGGCGAGATTGGTGCTCCACTTTTGCTCCGGTTCCTCTCAACTTCGGTAGGCTACCACTATCTGGATGGGTTGGATTACATCACGAGAGAGATGGACGACTGGTTCCTGGGAAGAAACGATACTTACGTGGCTTTGATCGAAGCCTCCATGGCTCGCGCACTCGCGGACATACCCGAAAAGCCGTCGACTCAATTGACGTACGACGACACGCCTGAACCAACCGACTACGGCCTCGTGCCACCGCACTTCTATCGGGAACTGACCAGAACCAAGGAAGGATGCAAGCTACTGAAGCAGAAAGGTCATTTTGACGAGTTCGCTGCGACCATTCGAGACTTTGCGTCGGAGAATGACGACCCTGAGATAATTCTCAAGGTCAAGGGCTGCTTATGGGCGGTTGGCAACGTGGGCTCGATGGAATTGGGGGCGCCATTCCTTGAGAGCTCAGATGTGGTCAAGTGGGTCGTGCAGATTGCCGAGCAGTCTGAAGTCATGTCACTTAGAGGCACAGCCTTCTACGTACTAGGCCTGATCTCCCGAAGTCTCCATGGCCAGGAAATCCTGCTGGAATATGGATGGGACGGCGTCGTCAATGACTCTGGCGAGGCACTAGGGTTTTGCCTGCCGTTAAACTTCAACAAGCTCTTTGCGGTCAGTACTTGATTTCTTTTTCGCCTCGGATAATGATCTAATGCATTATAGATGAGACCCTGGGTTGCCCAGGCGGAAGACATGAGCTGGAACCCCAATGCAGAAATCAAGGTTGCGGTCACCGACAGGGATCCAATAAACGCGCGCATCTTAAAGCTCGCGACTGACTTGGGCAATACCGTGCTTGCCAAAAAGGCAGCAAACGACTTGCAGGCGTAAGTAGTCCCTTGTTCAAGGGCTGAAAGTTACGAGCTAATGTATGCGGCTTAGAATCAAAGCTAGAAAGGCACCCGGTTTCAGCAAGCCTGCGATCTTCCACAAGGTGATGCAGATTCTGGAAGCACATCACTTCCGTCTCCCAGCGTGCCGGTTCATGCTAGACTTGTTCGACAAACGGGTTCTCGAGCAAATTGTGCTGGAGGAAGAAGACGACGATGAGGAAGATGAGTCGAGCATTGAATCAGACATCAACTCAGAGGCGGAACAGCCAGGTACAAACGGCGGGCCCAGGGCACCGTGAACTGGTGTTCGCGAGTACGAATCCGAGATTTCGGAAATGGGCGTTGAGGAGCGTTATGTACAGGGATGTCAATGTACAATAGTCATGTTCTGTGTTGGTGGAGCCGAGCCAAAGCGTGCATGGAGGTTTCTTTTGCATATGGAGTTTCCCTGGTA